ACGAGGGAGCGTCCGCGGCCCGCGCAGAGACGTGCACCAAGCCGATGGCGTGGACGCGGCCGGGCCCGACGCGTGGGCCGCCAGAGCGTGAGTTCTGCCAGGCGGGTGTTTCAGGCCGCGTGCGGGCAGGCCCGCGTGGGCGTGTCCCCCCGGGCCCACGCGTGTCCCCCTGAATCAGTGTCTCGGCTCTCGTCCAGGACGATGACTGCTGAAAGCGAGCCAAGGAGGTTTGTGCCACCGAGAGCCTGAGTCTGTCACGCAGACATTCTCATTACATAATCCTGCCACTTGAGCGACTTGGCTGTTTCTCTTCCCCCTCCCCATCTTGCTCCCACCCTATTTTTTTCTACTACTGTCTTCTTTTTGGTGTGAAGGACTAGAAAGAATCCTGCGCGATACTGAAACATTTAGAATTTATGGTTCTGTTTCCGTGGTTGTCACCTCCGTTCTACATCAAATTTAAGGCTCATTTCTTAAAGATGTCTCTATTTTCTGCTTTATTTGCACATTGATGGCTCTGCTGCTCTGCTGCCCTCAGCCGCCTGCGTCAGAGACAGAATTGTGTTAATAAGTGAGGGAAGACTAACGCTGACCATTAGCAGGCAGACGGAATTCAGATAGCATCTGGTGGCCTTGCTCCCTGTTTATAAGAAAGCATTTATATTCTCGCTTGGTAAACACAATGTTTTAACTTTTTATCTTGATACTGGGGGAGAATGAACCCCCACACACACACACAGCGCGCGCGCGCGCGCACACACACACACACACACACACACACACACACGTCTTCCTTTCCTTTCATCAGCTTTTCCATTTGAGGACTTGCTCACTTGTTAGCTGTAGTTCCGGCTCGCTTGTTGCTGAAGCTCCTTCCTTTTCCACCAGCAGAGGTAGGACCCATCTTTCCTCATGCCCAAGTCGCCAGGACTTTTTATTTTCCTTACTGCTGCGTTCGTATGTTTCTGAACATGTTGTACTAGGGGTCGGTTACTCTGATTGTTTTTAATGTAGCCTTGTTAAGCTTCACTTTAAAACTTGCCAAGGGTTTATTGGTTTGTCATGTCTGCACGGATCCAGTTATGCCTAGCTCTGAAAACAGAGCTTTAAAATAAGACCTCGGATTGTACTGCCAAGATGTGGCGCGGAGCTTGCTCTTCAAGTTTTGGACCAGGAGAGTTGTCATTGTCTCTGTCAAGTGCAAAGGAGGTGACGCCTGTTTATTTGGTGTAATAGCTGTTTACAGTTAGAACTTTAAAGACTTGCCAGAGTAGATCTGCTGGATTTTAAAGATCTCATCTTTCTTGTGGCAGAGACACAACACCAGCGTCGGGAAAGGCAACAGATTGCTTCTGTCATTTCGCTTTGCTGTTTTCGAGTGTACTTAAAGGATTATGATTGATAAGGCTGTCTTGCTGGAGAATGTTGACACAGGTGCGCATCGTTATCTTAATTAAGATCCAGAGAAAATGTTGTCTGTAAATGGAGCCAGAAGAAGAGGGCATAATTTTGTACAGTTTTGCTTTTGGAGAATTTAATTACACTTGAAACCTGTCTTTGAGCTTCCAGATTGTGTGAGCAGTTTGGCAACAGAAGTTTTAGAGAGGAATGGTAGTTTAATGTTAAGTGTTCTGGCATGTTCTAATACTACTTGTGGCTTTTTGGCAATGCCTTGTGTCGGCTCTCTTTGTACTCTGTCTTTGTGGAATAATAGCTTCTAATTTTGAAAGCAAAGTATAAAATAGAGGGCTGTATTGTTCGGCAGACATTCATTAGTGAGGAAGACATGTTTAGTGTGCAAAAAAGGAATATAATGAAAAGGTAAATAGATGAGAAATGTATGCCTTTTAAGGTTTGGGGAGTGCCTTGATGGTCTGAAACAATTCCCTTTTCTTATCATCAAGTGCATAGCTACCATGTTTGTGGAATAGCTCGTTCTCATTTATAGAAATAGAGGGAAACTTTTACTCCTTCCAAAATACTATATAATATATTTAAACTAGTAAGCAAATGATGATACAGTATTAGTTTAAAGCCCAATTTATAACCCGGGTAATCGTTAAAATAGTATCATCTCCTTTAACTAGGAATCTCTCAGTGTGCAAACAATGACAAGGGGGATGCTGGTGGCCACTTGCCCTTGGATTACCCTGCACCTCATACCCTTTAACATAAGTGCTACATTAAAATTTCCCTCCTCTTTGTAGCTCAACATTTCCTGGAAGCTGGCTGTCAATCAGCATTTGTGTAAGATGTGTCCGTGCTTTCCTTCAATATTAAATCTCAGAGTCGAAAGAGGAAATGAAAGTGGAGGGGATCATGGGCATATGATGGGAAAGGCCAGGTGTAGAGTCATGGCTCATTCTTGACTTCAAGGATAATTAGCTGGTTAGAATTACACGGAGAACTAAAATCAAAGGAAGACTTACTTAGATTTGTTTGCTGAAACTGAAACAAGAGTGTTAATTTTGAGATAATTGCTTTATTTATCCCCCAGACCCTTCCATCAGAATGTTTTCTCTGGCAGCTACAGTCCCTATTTTTTATGCTGTTATGCATGTGTTATTTTTAAATTAGATATATTGTGTTAAAAGATGGAATATTAATGCAAATGAATTATCCATTTTAATTAATAATACAATTATGAATGTTTGTATGTTCTAGAAATCTTAGGAAAAATTGAAATGTTCTTTAGTTGATGAGCTGGAAATGAATGAGATCGTGTAATCCTTTGTGAATTGAATGGGTTGTTTAAAATAGATTATGAGCACAGTGCCGTAGTTGGAACAACATTTTAATTCTGAAATAGCACCACCTGCTTTGAGTGGAGGCATGTCTGTCTTCATATATTTCTCTTCAGTTTCTGTATTGCATTAGCTTCTGTTTTTAACATCATTTTGGTAGAGAATAGCTTTTCTTAACAGAACAGCAGCTGACACTTCTCCATGAACGTAAAACCTAGGGGTGATTTTTCCCCCTTGTTCTGTAATGACTAGTTTGCTTTCACAGCTCTCCTCTGAAGTGCAATACTGATGACTTATTTCTGTATAAATTGGCTGTGTTTTCATAGCTCTAGTATACCTCAGCAGCAATTTAGCTTGCAAATCAACTTAGACGCTTCAAAATTGAAACCCAGTATATTGTAACATAGTTTGAGTGTAAGTCTTTATTAGTGAGGATGCATCTAACATTTGTTCAGGAAAGGGGAATATAATTTCCTCCCGCAGCTGTCATTTGTGTAATCCATTTCTCCTGCCTTTTCTCAGGCTAATGATATTCCACACCTTGATACAGCTCTTATTTGCTTATTTACCATAATATGGAGTGATACCTGGGAGAAAATTGGATTAGACGTTCATATCTAATATTCCCAAAGTATTGCTAGTGTTCTGTGTTCTCTAACACAGAATCCTTTCTACTTTCTGATCAGGTGATAAGTACAATGTTTTATAATATATTTGGATGTTTCAGATAAGTTCATTTCCAAAATATAGGGTTATTTTACATATTGACTAAAATGTGTTCTTGAACACACCAAGGCTTATCTGCATGCATTGGGTGTTGCCTGGATGTGAAGCTCCCAGATAACACCAAGGTGGCTTCAGCAAAGAATGCATATTAGTAATTGGTGCTAAGTGTGGATAGTGGGGGAATGTCACCTGAGACCTTTGATTATTCAAATTCTATTAGTGCACTAACAGGAATTTGGTAAATTTAAAAATTGTTGATTTGTGGGATGTCTGAATAATTTATCATTTTTTCTTGGAATTGCATTAAATAATTTATTTGAATTATAGCATTGGATAGTAAAATCAAGACCAAGGTTGTAATGTTTAATAAAAATCAAATTGCTATTAAAAGGAAATAATAAAACTAAAACAAATCACATTTTTATTTTAATGGAATTAAATAAAATTAATTTATTTAAATGGAATTATTATTTTAATCTGATTCTTTTAAGAATAAATTTAGCATCATCTTCGGCCATTGGCATCAAGCTCTAAATTACAGAGAGTATACAAGTATGCAAAACTTGTCATTGTTATTAAAAATAGGGCTCTGGTATAGGTGGGGAAGAAAGGCTTTGAGAAACAATTTGCAGACGATTTGTGCTATCTAAGGATAGAGCAAGGAATTGGACTTAATGAATTACAACATTTATTATCAATAAAGTTTGTGGCTGAACTCTCCACCCCAATAAGATAATTTTATTGAAGGCAGTCTAGTCAGTCTAGCCTTTGCTAGAACAAATGCTTCTCTATGAATTATTAGGCATTAGTGTAGTCTTGCTATAACAGGAAATTCTGTTTTATCGTTCGTAAATAAGTGTTTGTAAATAGACTTGTGTTCCCTATACTGATCGGAATCTCCAGAAACTGGGGGCTAAAGCATTACAGCAAGCTAGAAGCACAGCACAAATGTACAGAAAATGTTAGGCAGGCACAAATAGGATTCCTCGCTATTTACCTTTAAGCTTAGGGGTCTGTTCTGTTCTTAAACCATGATAGAGTTGTTGATTTAAACATAAGAGGATTGAGGTTTAGTTCTTTTCTCCTAAGCACAAATATGGTATATATGAGAAATATTTAAGCATTCAGGCTTATCAAGTTTCATATCTGTTGTGGGCTAGATTTACTATTACGATCCAAGTTTCATTAAAGGTATTCAAATGCATTAGATCTCTTAATCTTACATGAAATATTTGTACTGGAGCACACTCTTGAAAATATCAAGAAGCATCCTTTTTGGAGTAATGGGTTATGACTGATTAATTGAGAAGGTTGTACTAAATGTTCTCTAGTGGAAATAGCTAAAGAATGTGCTTTTTAAGAAATGCATCATCCACGAATAAAATCAATTGAGGTATCACTAATTAAATTGTGATTTCATGAAGGAAGGGAGTGGTGAGAGAGGAAGCTAACTGTGGCCGTTTTCTCTTTAAGAACCGCAGTTCATACTGGACTTCTGGCTGCCCGTGGAAGGAGGTGATTCAGAAGACAGGAAGGTAATACTATCTATCATCAAGAACACTTTTCTCTGCAATCCTGAACCTTTAGCCTACATGAGAACTCTGTCCAATAGACCGCGGTTTCTTTAATTTTGAGCGATGGAAACCGTCCTGTTTTTCTCTGCTAACTTTCTGAGCCTGCTTCTCCCAGGGCCACAGGCTGTGTTTAGAGAGCTGAGAAATAGCTTTTCGGCCTACTCAGCACCCTTAAAATAGCTTCTTTCTGCGAATTAGATCTGTGATGGCGTCCTGCACAGCTCTAGCAGATGACATTTCAGTTTGGGATTGACATGCACTCAGCCTGTTGTCCAACTGTCCTCATTTACCTCCTGTTCCTTTGTTGCATTTACCTAGGGGTGTATTCTCCATGGTGGTTGACCGCCAGCCGCCCCAGCCCATTACAGGGGGATGTAGAGACCCCAGCAAGAGGCTGGCTGGTGATAGCGGGCCATGGTTTCTTTGCCTGTTTCCAGCCCGAGCTCTGTTGGCTTCCAGAAACCCTGGCTAGGCTTTCCCTTCCCACCACACTAGGTTGGCTACTGTGTGCTCTGCAGCTGTTGCAGGGGCTCACACAGAATAGAAGGCTCTACTACATTCTGAATGCATCTCTGATAATTTACTCACGTGCATTTTTGTCTTCAAACCTACCGCTGGCATTGAAATCTAAGATTCCTGAAAAACAGCATTGGGCTCCAACTCTATCTTCAGGAGAGGATCTGTCCTCTGGCCCTGTGTTGCCATGTTGACCACGAAGGTTCAGTTATAAATCGGTCCTTTCCAAAGAGCAGTTACTTTATCTGGGAATGTTGACACAGACCTCAGTCATTTAATAGCATTTCTAGCTGTTTGTCTTTCTTTTTAAGAAAGGCAACCTTTTCCCTGGCTTCACAAATTTCTAGCCCCTGACCTGTATCTAGTAAGGGACATTAATGAAACAGTAAAGGGCTTCATGCTGTCAAATTATATAATTAGGAAAATGGTAAGAAATGTGGTGGCTCAAATTGATTTCTTCCATTAAAGGTACTGGAGCACATTTACAATCGCAAACCTTCAGAAAAGACTCCGGGTAATCTGGAAGTGAAGTGATGTTTGGGGGGAATCCCTGGAGCAGTGGGAGGAATATTAATTTCAAATTCCTTTCCCCATGTCTTCTCGCAGGGTGTCAGCAGCTGGGGAACCATTACAATGTAGTCAGACAGTGCCGATAGCAGAGCACTTATTTGGAAAGCAGTTTACATTGGCACAACTCTTCAGTATTGTGACCATGACCAACTTTGCACCTGGCATGTGTGGGCTATTGCTCTTGCTTTTAATACAGCAGTTGATGGTGCAGCTTGTGTGTAGAATACAGCGTGTTTAAACTGACTCGGTCTTGCTGGTCATTTAGAACATTACAAAGTTGAAATGTTTTTATTAATAGAAGGAAAATGTAAAATTCAACATTTGGGCATCCGATACCTTTCTGCCAATTTTTTAGATCATGAAAGTATGATCTTGATATGTATGACACTGTCTTTTGTCATTGTTATAGGGATAGAATCATAGAATATTCTGGAACCAATGTATCTTTGTTAATTCAAGATTTTGTCCCCTATAATTTTTTTTAAAATAAAAATCACAAGTATTTTAGAGATTACAGTTGGAGTCCCGGGCTAACTTGCCACCCGTCAGGATGAGGGAAAGCAGCCTTGATTAATCTCGAGCTGTGAAAGGGGCAGGTAAAATTGTTCACAGAGGAAATTTACTAATGTACCAACCATTTAAATTAAATGTTTGTTAACATAATAGCGATGGCATTTTCTCCTCCTCCTCCTTGTGGTTTGGTCCGACTTGATGTTACAGCGGCCGTTGCACTGACTGTTAAGTGTTTAAATGATGACACCATTATGTGAAGTGATTTTGAAATGAGAGACTCCAGCCAGGAATTACATCTGCTCCCATCTCCTTCAAATCATACTCGATGGCAGTACAGATTATGATTGATTTGTTTGTGACAGATTGCAGGAAGCAGTCATTGATTTTTCAATATTTTACCTTAAAATTATTTACAGTTGTAACCATGGGGAGGTATTTCCATGGGCTGTCAGCCCCTGAAAGACTAAGATAATATTCCCTGCTCTCTGACAAGACAAATTACCTGTAATGAGTGCAGTAGCTGAAGGGTATACTTTTATTTTAAAATATGTCAATAACCCCAGTGACTAAACGAATATTGATTTAGCATAATGAAGCCTGAGTAATGTGAAAATGAGCTTTTTCAAGGGGCATGGTAAAGACTTTCTTTTTAGCTGATTGTAAGAAGCTTTTCATTCCTCCCAGCTAGCTATGGAAATGCAGTTTTCAGCAGCAGCCTACCAGGATGATGGTTGTGATAACTGGAGTCTTGATGTTGGTGCCTTGGTTTTAAGGGTTCTTCTTGTTTCATTTTAGTTGTAGACTAGCTACCAATTTGTTTGATGTTGTTTTTAACTGACTTAATATTTTGGCAGTTTCCACGTTAAACTGAAGGTGTACACATGACCGTCTATAGATGACATGGGTTGTGTTAGGATGTTCCACACGGGTTGTCGTAGTATTTAACGTGCAGTGTTCCATGGCAGCCACCCTCTGTCTTGACACTGGGAAGATTAATCCCGAGTGCTGGTTTTTAGACAGTAGTGCAGACCTTCATTTTTGTCAGATTTTGTTACCTTCTTTCCTGTGATCCTCTATGTCCTATGAACTAAGATGTCAATACATGAAATCCTTTGAACAGGAAATAAGTGCTATGTATTTATACATCAGAATGTGTAAGGATTTTAGGTCTGATTCATATCCATATGGCTCACATGGTAGGAGAAAGTGTGGTGAATTGAGCTGGTGGTGTTTACCAGGAAAAGACACGTTCAAAGATGATAGCACAGTGGTGTTCTGTGGGAACCCTGTTCATTTTATAGTAACTTAGTAATAGGATCAATATTTTAGAAATTAAAAACAAGTTGATTTAAGGGAAGTTCAGCCAGCTGGACTCATTCTGTTATGAACTGGCCTTGGAAATGTGGAGAAGAAATTGACAATGCAGCTAATACCTAAGTGAGAAAGCGAACCTGAGAACACAGCAATGTTGTCTCACATTGTCCCCAAGAACTGCCTAAGGAGTGGCATTGTGAAAAGCTATAACTGTGACTTCCTGTCCCTAAGGGTTCATCTCGACATCATCACTGCCCCCCAAGTTTCTTTTCTCTTCCTCTAAGGGAACTTGTGAAATAAATCTGAGGGACATGCCATTGGAACCAGTAACCTAAAGTCTTCAGTCATGTATATTGCATTTGTAGATCTTAACTTAGTGTAATAGCCATAGAATTACATCTTTTAAGGGAAAAAGTAGTTTTTCCTCAATAGATTTTTAAATAAGATATCTTTTCCTCTGACTCTATGTTAAGCAAAAACACCTCTATTGTTTAGTTTATTTGGGGTAAAATAAAGCATTGTAATAGTAACCTAGGACCCCATCAATTAGTATGTATCTCTTCATTTGACAGTGCATGGAGAATTATCTTTGTAAACTTAATTTAAATAGTTAAAGTGAAATTTGTTTTAATTTGTTTTTTGGAGAAAATTATTCCCTTGAATATTAGACCTTTCTCTATTTTTTCTGCTAAAAACAGAATTATTCTGTCCCAGTTCTTTAGGGAAAAACTAGTTGTAGAAAACATTTTTGTTTTAAAATTACACATGTGATTATTTAGGTCTAGTAGATATAATAAAGGAAGAAAGACCCCTGCTTTCAAAATCTTTTTTGTTTGTATTAAGACAGTTTACTTTGACATTGTTTATACCAATCTACTTAATTTTTCTCCAGAACTCACTTTCCTGTGTTTCACCTGACCTTCTATTATAACTTAATATAGAAACAAATTAGCATATAATTCTATTTTCCATATGACCTCCACCACTTTCAGAATTGTGCCTCCCCTTTCAGGGGAGGCTCAGTCACTTATTCAGACTGTAGCCTTGGGTGTTTGCAAAGACTGCATGCACCCTGGCTGACATTTTGTAATGGAGAGCATTTTAAAGTAGCAGATAGAGGGAACACTTCACCCCATTACTAAGTTATTATAATGCCTCCACAAAGTAGCATTTTCAATTAGTGTCCACAGTTGATTAGTGGTTTTTCTTCTCCCAAACACGAAGCAGCATGGCCAAGTTAAGTTATAATCAGTGGTGTACAAGGTATTAAGGACTGACAGTGATCATGACAAATAGTTATTATTTTTATTCAGTCCATGTCCTTGGGTTTCCTGAGGTCTGTTTCCATCAGGATGCAAAGAACATGGAGCACACGGGCGCTCTGTGATGCTGGTGTGCGTGGGGGTAGGTGTTCTTAGGTTATAATGTTCTCCCAGCCCCAACCCTCAGCTGCTGTGGGACTGAAGCGCTTCTGTAGCACTAGTTTTATTGGAAATGCTTAATATTACAGAAGATTGTTGACTATTTGCTGCTTTAATCAAAGAATAGGAAAAAAATCAAATAAATTTTGTTAATTTTTAAACATGCCTTTATTTGACTGAATGAATGTTGGTTGAAAAGTTTTAAAAGTTCTTTTGCTGTTGTGATTCTTCTAGCAATCAGATATCATGGGGTAGACTCAAAATCACTTTCTAACCTGCCTCTGTTATACTCGTGGGACAAAAAAGATGACAGGCATCCACATATACTTTTTAATTCTCTATACTGCTCCCCCCCACCCCTAATGGAACATTTCCTCCTGAACAAATATATCATTGCAGTTCAGACTCTGGAAGAAAATTGCTTCACCTGGCATAGCCTTCATCGTGTGTGGGAACATCCAATTTGTGTAGAGAAGACTGTCATCCCTTCAGCCTTCGGGGAGTGGCGACCCACTTCTTAGCTGTCAGGGAATCCGTGTAGTAGCCTTTGTAGCACCAGTAGAAAAGGGAAGGATTGGTTCGTCTACAGAGAATGCCTACAGCCCTAGTGGCAGGAACCTGGAAGGT